ATTCAAATTTCAATTAAAAGTTGTGTCCAGTAAAAATGTGTAAAATGTAATAACAAACATCGTATGTATGAATTGTATGAAAGATGACTCTACCTTTCTCATAAATTAGAATTTTAGCTTGAATATAATGCTACCTAATACGAATTAATGGCAACTTTCATTCTAACTAGTATAAAGCGAAAGGTGGCAGTGAAAACTACAACCAAAGAATGACCACTTGGGTAATTTTGCAGTTTTTTTGAGATGAATAGCGTTAATATAGGTTTTTTTTTTTAGAAATATAACTTATACATACTATTTCTAATTAAAATTTAGCAATAAACTTCTTTCAAGAAAAACACTTACTACAAAACGAAAGAATATTTGTTTTTAAAGAAGGATATATGCCATGAAAAGATATTTCTCAGGTAAGTCTGATGAATGCAGGAGAAGGGACTCTCTATAAATTGCATTAGATGTTCTAATGGCGTGGATACTGTTCCCGATTTTTTGCTCTTTTTTTACCGTAGAATCAACGATTAATAACGGTTGGCGGTGCTTACAGAAAAACTAATTACTATCTTTATTACACATTGTTCCTTGATAATTTTTCATGTTTTTAAAATCAAGCAAAGTTTCTATGGCGCCATTTTTTTTACCATAAATTTACAGGTGAAATTTTGGTATAGAATTTAACACTGATCACTGATCTACAAAATTATTTTAGTTTTTTAGAATTACAACTTATATGGACTGCTTCTAACTAAAGTTAACCGATAAATCACATTCAACGAAAGAAAAGTCGTTATCAATAAGAACGATTCTGAGAAGGGTGCCATCAAAAGATTATTTTAGGGTAAGTTCGTTGAAAGCAGAAGAAGGAACTCGCTAAAAATTATGTTAGATGTTTTAATGGAATGGATGATAAACTGTTCCGATTTTTTGTTTTTTTGTGCATTTTTGTATTTAAACACAGACTCTTATGTTATCGAACTGTGTTACATGGTTTCAAAGTTATTCAAAAGAATGAAAATTATATAGAAACATTGAAAGAGTTTGTAATATTGAAGCCTCCAGGGCACATTCGCAGTGTCTACATCTATTTGACCTTTTTTTTTCAAAAGCTGCCCAAAAACTTCTTTCAATTATAATCCAGATATTTGCTTCTCAAAACTATATGCTATTTTTATTACACTTTGTTTCTTTACACCTTTTCATGATTTTGAAAAAAGTAGAATCGAACAATGTTTTTGTCGCTATTTTTTTAACCGTTGCTGTACTGGTCAAAATATTTGTCTAAAATTTTGCCCGAAATAACAAAATTATTTTGCTTTTTTAGAATTACAACTTACACGGGCTGTTTCTAATTATAATTTACTGATAAATCCCATTTAACGCTAACAAGAAAGACGCTTTTGAGAAAGTAACCCTTAAAAGATAATTTTGGGGTAAGTCTGCTTAATGCAGAAGAAGGGATTCGCTAAAAATGGTATAAGATGTTTTAAAGGCTTGGATGATAAATTTTTCCGATTTTTTTTTGGATTCTTTTTTCTGCATTTTTGTATTTTATACAGATTCTTATGTTATCGAACTACCTTACAAGTTTTCATAGTTATTCAAATAAATGAAAATTCTTAATTTAGGAAGACTGACACAGTTTTTGGTATTGAAGCCCCTTGGGCACATTCGCAGTGTCTACATCCATTGAACTTTTTTTTTTGAAAAGCTGTCCAAAAACTTCTCCGAATTATAATCCAATCATTTTCTACTAAGAACTAATTACTATTTTTATTACACATTGATTCTTTATAATTTTTCATGATTTTGAAAAAGGAAAGATCGAATTATGTTTTTGGCGCCATGTTTTTAACAGTAGCTATACAGACGAAAATGTTTAGATAAAATTTTGCACTAAATAACAAAATTATTTTAGTTTTTTCGAATTACAACAACAAATTTATCAATAAATCACATTGAACGAAAACAAAAATTACTAACAATAAGGATGTTTTTGAGAAGGATACCATCAAAAGATAATTTTAGGGTAAGTCCGTTGAATGCAGAAGAAGGGATTCGCTAAAAATTGTACGAGATGTTTTAATGGACTGGATAATAACCGGTTCTGATTGTTTTTTCTGTATTTTTGTATTTTGATACAGATTCTTGCGTTATCGAACTATACCTTATATGTTTTCAAAGTTAAAATTTTTAAATACTGATCGAGATTCAGGTATTGAAACCTCGTAGGTCTACGTTCATATGATTTTTTTTTTCGAAAGCTGCCCAAAAGGAATCCAGTTTTGTCAAGAGACTGTTGATTTTTAAAATTTTGAATATCCCGAATTTTGGTCTTTCGCATACCCATACTATATATGTATTGTACATACAATATACTTCGAAAGATGTTAAGGTAATTGCTTCTTCCAAACTGGCAAAAAATATAATCGACTGGACCTAGATAAGAATTAATGATAAATAACGGTTTAAAGCGGTTAGAGAAAAAATACTCAAAATCTTTGCCTAAAATTTGGCACTGAACTACAAAATTATTTTATTTTTTTAGAATTATAACTTATATGGATTCTTTCTAACTAAAATTTATCGATAAATCCCATTCAACAAAAATAACAGTAGCTATCAATAAAGACGTTTTTGAGAAGGCAACCATCAACAGATAATTTTGGCCTAAGTCCGTTGAATGCAGAAGAAGGGACTCGCTAAAAATTGTATTAGATGTTTTAATGGCATGGATAATAGACTGTTCTGATTTTTTTTTCTGCATTTTTGTATTTTGATGTAGATTCTTACGTTATTGAACTACCTTACATGTTTTCAAAGTTATTCAAATGAATGAAAATTTTTACTATAAGAACACTGACATAGTTTTAAGTACTGAACCTCCACGGATACGTTCGTAGGGTCTACATCCATAAGATTTTTTTTCGGAAAGCTCTTGGGTACCCATGGTGTATTATTTTGGAAAATTCTGGCGTGACCTGTTTTTGAGTTAATTTTAGGACCTCGTTTTTTTTTTGAAAAATTTAAAACAATATTAAGGTTCTAGGTGTTTGTGTTTGGAAAAAATTTGTAAGTGCTTTGGAGCCTTTAGTGTCTTTTGTTATAATAATTTAGTTAAATTTCTTAGAGAACACATCATTTGCTAAAATTAGTCTCATCTTAGCAGGTACTAGCCCCGCCCACCCCACCCTCTCTGTTCTTAGATGGTATATCATTTGCCAAAATCAGTCTTATCTTAGGAGGTACTAGTCCCGCCCACCCACCCTCTCTTTTTTAGAGGGTATCTCATTTGCCAAAATCACCCTTATCAGGAAAGGAACTAGCCCCGCCCACCCTCCCTCTCTTTTCTTAAAGGGTACGTCATTGACGAAATCAGTTATGACTAACTTTTACAAAAAATAATGAAAATTTAGAAACATTACGAGCTTACATATATGCACAAAGCAGGAATTTTGAGCATCTTCTCCAGTGTTTAGTTGGTTATGCTTTAGTGGATTTTTCGGTTGTTGGTTTTGTTTTAATTTATAATCTATAAACGTCTTATTAAATGTTTTTTTTTGGTTTCACGCATTAGGTGCGCGCAGTGTTGCCAATCTTACTTTTATAAAATTACGTTTTTTTCGTAATCTACATCATAAAGAATTTTTTTTTATAACTTTTTTGGCACTTCCGAAATCCCCATACATAACGTACTGAAGAGTTAATCCGCCATTTTCCAGACACCCAGTATAGAGCCATTCACAGAGTTTTTGGTATTGTAGTCTCCTGGGTAGATATATTCGCAGTGTCTACAATATCCATTAGATCTTTTTTTTTGAAAAGCTGTCCAAAAATGTCTTCCAATTTAATCCAGATATTTGCTTCTAAAAACTAATTCCTATTTTTATGACACATTCTTCCTTTATAATTTTTCATGATTTAAAATGTTGGTCTAAAATTTAAGACTAAATTACAACATTATTTTACTTCAAAAAAAAAAACATTCTTAAGGGCGTTTTCAGGAAACTTTTTCTGTCCAGGTTAAATTCTTATACCTCCCTTGTTGTCAATTTTCACCGATTTTTGAAAATAATAATTGAAACGTCTTTGGAGGTCAGTTATGCTTGTTTTATAATTTACATACTGACTTGTCGCTGGATTTTACAAAAAATCTACTCTGGAGTCTACACTCGATGCTATTATTGGCTTGAGGACGACCTTGGTTTGTCATCATGTTGTTGCGATAAAATTTATGGAAACACTTGACTTGATGGGGCCATTTGTTAATTAACAAGAACAAAAAATATAGTATCACTTTTAATTAATTAGAATCATAAAACTGTCAACAAAGTGACAGTCGTACGAACCTAGCGAAGACACCGGTTTTGGTCGTTCAAAAAGGGTTAACAATTTGTTTAAATAAATTATATTGTTCAAATTATATTCTCTACGGAAAAAAAACTTAAAAATGTTGCAAGCATAGCAAACACCTATATTATATCTAATAATAAAATAAAAGAAATAATTCTACGAATTTCGGAGAAGTTCCTCGGTCGAGCATCCCACTCGACCCAAAAATGCAATTTTTGCATCAAGGTATTTTTTCCTCGTACCTCCAGCCCCCTCCCGCCTCCCACTCGCCTCCCGTCTCTCTCCTCCGACCGCGTCCTCTTTTTCAGGCTGTCGGAGCCTCGCAGTCTGCCGCGTCCGCCGAGGCCATTACCAGTTTATTGTCACAACTATCGTTTTTATCGAGACCACACATGCTATAAAAATCAAACAATTCGACGCCGGAGGCGCCTTACGGGCCCGACCTGAATCCGTTGGAATTGAAACTCTCTCGCTCCCAAGACAGGCATAAAAAAATGGCCCCAGATCGCGATCGGATATGCAACAAAAACAGGTGTTAGGCTCGAGGCGTTACCGAAACAATAATTATTTGTGGATGGGTCCGTTTAAAAAAATGCGCCGTGTTGAAACGTGCCCGCGATTTATTCGCGTGATGGCTTTATGGGCGAACTCACCATTGGTTTCGCACTGCTCCGACTCGCTGGTAACGACGTCGTTGTCGCTCGGGGCTGAGGAATGGGGTATTTTCTTGATGCGGTGGAGGAAGCTGCCCATCGGGTACTCGTTGGAGGATTTCTCGGCCGGCTCGATGTAGTAATTGTCTTGGGATGTGCGAATGTAGCCGGTCTGGAAATGGTACGACATGGTTAGAAGGGGAGGCGCGGCTGAAACGACTTGTAAACGAGCCGTTTCGAATCGACGATTTCAGGCGATTTTATTCTTATTTTAAACAAATAAAGAAACACATAAATGAGTGTCGTTAATTTCCCCACATATTGGGGTACAACATCCGACTATAGGTTGTCAACAGTGTTGGGGACTGATACTTTTAAAAATATCTAGATATAGATTGTTTTCGATTTTTTCGAAATGTATCTAGATACAGATAAAAGAAAAGAGATACGTTCTGAAGCTTTGGCGAATAAAATAACTGAAAATATGTTTATGTATTTTTTATGTATCTATTGTTTAATGAATTTTTTAAAATTAACAACATTTCGAACGTACTGTCACCTAAATTATTTCTTCTTGGTGTCAGAATTTGGTTTCCGCTACTAAACACCCGTTCCGCAGGTGCAGAAGAAGGGATTGTGGTATTGAATTTAAAAAATAAACCTTTTACTGTAGCATAGTTATTCAAGACTGAAAAATCTTTTCTTTTTTTCTGCAAATAGGCCATCGCTTCGCTGTTTGATGTGTAACAAATTGTGCAATATTTATTACGTAGGTACGCTTAAAAAGAATTTTTTGTTTTGTTTTTATTCCCATACTACAGCGTCCAAATTGTGTTTGAGTATATCTAATAATCATCTCCAGCATTAAAATTAATACTGACAATACAAAAGCATACGGGAAATGATTATTCTGTGCTGAAGGTCTGTTGTCGGCAACCTGTCATAAATTATTATTCTTCCATATCGGCTTACGATGTTTTTATGACCATGTCCGGTAATCGTCTATCCCGGTGCGGCAGGTATATACATTTTAGGAAGAATTGCTGGTTCCGTTTAAGGCAAAATAAGTACAATTTCTTAGAAAGGTATTTAATCCCCTTATAAGATCAAAGGCTGCATGGCAGGCCGAAATCACAATAGTGCAACTTTAAATTTTCAGATTTTTGTTGAAACTCATTTTATTTTAATCTCGTTTCACGAATTATGAGAATATATCACGATAAATTACTCTACGGAGGGTTGTAAAAAGATTAATTTTATTGCCCAAGATAATTACACTTAAACATAATCGGCACATTCTAGGGTAAAACGGACCTGCCAAGCCCGCCTCGCGTTAGGTCCAACAATGAAAAAGTGAAGAAATGACACAAGTGGCAACAGGAAAAGATGCTACATTATTGAAAAATAAAGGTATAAAACAGTAACAAATATGCGATTTATGCGAGAGAAATGTATGTACTGAACATTCGATTAGTCAATTACAGAACTAATTTGTGCTAATTGAAAAAATTAATCATTATGTAAAACGCAATTATTATTTTCTAAAAATAATAACATACCTTAAACAAATATTTTTACTATTAAAATTACTCTTATTTAATAACACAAATACAACCAGCGGGCCTACCGGACCCGGATTGCTCAGGTACACAGATAAAATGCATTGCCCCGACAAGCGTAAAACGCAGTGAAGGATTATATTTAAGGATTATATTTAAAGATGTAAGGCTACAATGTAGGAAATTATGGTATTTAAAAGATGAAAATTTCCGTGACAGAACACTATTAGTGGGCCTCTTACCTCTATTTTTGTTTATGTGACCAAAATCACCAACATGAAGTATCAAAAATTACTACTAATATGACTCAACTAACAACTATTGAAAAAAAAAAAGTGAAATAAAAAAATTTATCTGTATCTGCGCCATTAATTTTGTATCTAGATACAGACATTTTGTGCTTAAATTCGATTTTATCTAGATACAGATACTAGATACCCAAAAATGTATCTAGGTAATTTATTTAGATACAAGTATCTTGATACTGCCCAACACTGGCTATAACCCACCTGTAATGTACAACATTTTATCTGCGACCGCTGAGATAAGACACAAAACTAATAAAAATAAATATTTTACAAAAAATTCAAATTTGGCATCAAACTCTACTAAATTTTTCGATACCATGGTGATTTTACGTTTTTCGTGACACTGCACTGCGACCAGTGTTCTATCTCCGTTATTACCACCAAAATCAAAAACGAGAAAAAAGTGCAAAACGTAACCAATGGAAAGGTTCTGCTGGCGTACTTCGACAATTTGTCTAAAAAATACAAATCCTCCAGTATTTGGGCTTTCGATTCAACGCTGAGGGCGACGATTTCTAATAATGTTGACATAATCAGTTGATTGCATTTTTAAAAAGGCACTCAAAAGGGTGCAGACCCAAGAAGTCAAAGATATTTGCGAAAGATGAGATTGGAAGGCTCCTGAAAGAAGCTGACGCGAAGCAGTTTTTCCTTACTAAGGTAAGATATGCCTAAAATATCTTCAAACTACTTTAATCATAGTTTTCCCAGGTTGCATTCATAATTGGTATCGCTGGAGCTTGCAGAAAACAGCAGCTCACTAACTTGGCCCTAGAAAATGTTAAGGATGAAGGGTTGGTTTTCCATATACAAATCCCGGACACCAAAACCAAAATTTCTAAAGAATTTTTCGTAACCGTTGGTGGCATTCAGGGACTTGATATGGTGGAAATAATTAGGAAATATTTGGCAGTACGTCCTCACCATACCAAGCATGGAAGATTTTTTGGGAGGTAGCTGCAAGTCACCTCCGTGTAGCTGTGATTGATGCACAGCATCCACTTGGTGAGCTGACTGCCGACCAGGTGGAGATGGTACAAAATGGTCTGATGGGAGCACTGGACAGGCAACTTGAACAGTGCCTGGCATCGGGAAGACAAGCAGCCACTTTCAGAGGCATAAAGTACACAGGGGAAATCCTAAGGATAACCTGTGAAGACGAGATGTCTCTGGAATGGCTAAAACAAACAGTGCGCGCTGTAACACCCTTGTGGGAAGGCGCACAACTTAACGTGGCCCCCTTGGCTGAGCTACCAAAGCTGGTGAGGGCGACCCTGTGGATACCGGGACCACCGGTGGATGCAGAGGTCATACTTCGCCGCCTGGAGCGTCAGACCCTATGGGCTCGGGTTAAAAAATGGCTTTTTTTCCATCACGAGGCAAAACCCGAGACTGCCTCCCCAACCAACCTCTTTGTGTTTGGTCTTGGGATGGATGAGGCCAAAACAATCAGGGAGAGAGGGGACAGAATCAACTATATGCTGTCCTCTTTCAACCTGAAACTTAAGGAGAACGAGGCGACGACTCGGAAAGGCAGACCCCAATGGAAGAGGCAGAAACCCCAGGGGATGAAACCTCCACCAGTGGGGGCGAGCCGGCCTGAGACATAAGCCTCGTGTCTCCTAAGATAGGAAGGAGATTTTTGGTTGCAGAGATGGCGCTGCAGCAGATACATTTCCTTCAGATTAATCTGCAGAATTGTCGCACGGTGACGATTGTTTTGTGTCGTCGCCTAGACAAGATGCAGATCACTATAGCAATAATCTAAGAACCATGGATAGTAAAATCCAGGATTGCGGGGTTAAGCAATCTAAATGGCACTGTTGTTTCAGGTCACACAATAGAATCTCCAAGCACATGTATTTACATTTCCAGGGATATTAAAGCCGTCCTCCTACCTCAGGTCAGCTCTAGGGATGTGACTGTGGTAAATGTTAAGTGTAACATAGGAAGAGGCGAAGAGCAACTAGTAATAGCATCCGTGTACTTATCACAAGGAATTATCATTGGAATAAATACAAAAAAAGGCTAGTTCACCATTTAGAAAAATTCAAAATTTTAAGACGAAAGATAAGTATGACATACGTAGGTTTATAGAAAATGCTGAAAATGACGTTAAAACTGATTCCTGTTTTCAAATCAGGGGTTAGAAACAACATAAAAAATTACAAACCGGTTGCCCTTATATCGAATATCACCAAAGTTTTTGAATGTATAATGTCTAATATTTTCTACTCTCATGTTATCAATTTTACATGTAGGGAACAACATGGATTTATTAAAGGCAAATCAACTGTAACCAACTTATTTGAATTTACACAATTTATCTCGGAAGCAGTTGATGAAAGAAAACGAGTTAATGATATCTTCACGGATTTGACCAAAGCCTTTGATAGTGTAACATAACTGTATTTTACTTAGAAAATTACAAAATATCGATTTATATTGTGGTTTAGTATTGCTTATGAAATAAATTATTATGAATGGATATCAATACGTTGAGTTGGATATCAGTCGCCGGAATTTATTTGTAATAGTCGGGTTATCCAAGGCTCCAATTTGGTTCCACTCTTGTTTTTTATATCTTTCAATGATATACATAAATACGTTAGTTGTAAGTTTTATATTTATACAGATGATTTGAAGATTATTAACGTTGTCGTTGCTGGTAACTTTGAGCCAAGAAGGCGGAACTTAACTGGAAATTCCTTATTTCTCTACGAGAAATTAAAAAAATATTTTTCAATATCGTGCGTATCATGTTTTCAATTTCTTGTAAAGAAATAAGTATTTTGCAGTTAGGCTCCGCCCCCTTGATTCACGGCGAATAAAAAAAATCATCACAATTGAGATAGGGCGGGTGGGCCGGTTTACATTTTGCCTTTTTGTTTTAACATGTGTAGACTTCTTTTCACAACATTAAACTTAAAACATGTTTAAAATGAAACATTTGTATAAGGAAATATCGCTTTTACCATTAGGCTCCGCTCCACAATTCCAAAATCCATATTTCCTTGCAAAAATGTACCACTTAACCATGATTTAAGTTTCTTGTAAAAAGATGGCTACGCATATTAAGAAAAAAGAAGCGTCAGTGTCAGACCATAGATGGATTATGTATACATTAAAATGTGTAGACATAGAGACAAAGACGTACAGGAACCCTAGGCTGACGAACTGGACTTTATATAACGAAGACCTGGAAGATAGAGTGGGGAGCTCCGTACAGTCGATAGCAATAGAATATAACTCGACAGAAGACATAGAGAAAACTTTGACCATTATTAACGACTCTCTAATGTCAG